ACTGTAATGTTTTTAGATGACTATGGAAGAGGTTGCAATGGGTTTTATTGATGTTGCCAATGAGACTATGTGTCGGCCGATTCGGTGAGTGTTTAGTAGATATTTAATCAAACGACAATATAAGTTTAAGAAACACAAATTTAATTACAGGAGGAACTTTTAACACGTGAATTAGCATAAAGAATCTCACAATCTGGTGACAGCTGTCAAAGAGTATAGAATAAAACAAAGACTATAACGTTACTGTATCAAAGATTAAATAATCATTACCGTTTTGATATATGCTTTGACACAAACAGTGTGATATTTAGATATTTAAAAAAAGTATGCAACTAACCCCCCCNNNNCCCCCCCCCCCCCACCAGACAGTAAAATAATTATATAGATTAACACAAAATACAAAGTAGTCTAAAAACTGGAGACCCAATTCGATAACCCAAAATTACTTTTTAGTTTTTCAACACCCCCTGTAGATTGCTCTTACCCCTCCTAGGTCATCGGTCAGCCCCCCCTCTAGATAATCGATCTTGTATTATCTATCTATACTGATATTATAAAGAGGAAAGATTTGTATTTTTGTATATATTGAAATAACTCAAAAACTACTGGGCAGATTTTAAAAATTCTTTCACCATTAGACAGGTTATTTATCTGAGTAATATCTTATTTCTTACTAATATTATAAATGCGAAAGTTTAGATGGATGGATGGATGTTTGTTAGACTTTGTAGCCTAAGCGGCTGAACGGATTTCTATGAAATTTGTCATAGATTTAGAGGATAGTCTGGAAGACCATATAGGCTATTTTTTTTAATCCCCACGTGAACGTAGTCGCGGGCGAAAGCTAGTAGGTTATATTTTTATTATATTTTAATTTGAAGTTTGACCAACAGTTAGTTGGTTAAATAAATTAAAAATTAATAGTAAAAATATATAAAAGTGCGTTAACGACTGCGCGTGGTTATGACGCGTCTGCGCACGCACTGGCTTGCTTCGGCGGCGCTGGCGGCCAGCACGCCTGCGCGGTGGCGCGCCAGCTCGGCATTGCCACTGTCCTGCTGCATAAATATGCTGGTAAATCTTACTAATATTATAAATACGAAAGTTTTTTATTAAAGTACTAGTGAAGTATCGATAAATCTATATAAATATAATAAAACTTAAATTCACACTATTTTATGTAAGATGTCCGCAATCATAGCACATTTTCGAATATCTTTTAATGAAAAGGATACTTTTACTGACAAACTATAGGATATATTTAAAGCAATACAAATGTAAACAATAAAACAAAGTTTTATAATTTGGAAAACGCACGGGAACAATCTATAATAACATTATAAAGAGGAAAGATTTGTATTTTTATATTTTTGTATGTATTGAAATAACTCAAAAACTACTGGGGCGATTTCAAAAATGCATTCATCATTAGAAAGCTAAATTATTGCATATAACATAAACTATATTATTTCACATGGACGAAGTCGCAAGCAACAGTTAGTGTATATTTCGTAGGAATCCTATCAGCGTACGGTATGGCACTAGCGCACGTAGTACACGAGGCGCAGAAGCCGTGCGCAGCGCTCTACTGTCCTGACCACTTCGAGCGACTGGACGACCAGCTGGACGTGCTGGCCGCAGTCTGCAGGGACAAGCTGCGGGCACAGGTATACAACACTACACTAAGTTACACCATACGGTACTAATCTACACCATAATACGCCAAACTACACCACAATACGCCTAACTACACTACATGGTACCAATTTACACCATAATACGCCAAACTACACCTTAATATTCAAACTCTAACATAATTCGATAAACTACACCATAATATGCCAAACTATACCATAATGCGACAAATTACACCATAATACGCCAAACTACACCTTAAAACGCCAAACTATACAACACTACACCAAACTACACCATGCTACACGACGCTACAGTACACTACATTAAAACACACTTTTTGTTCATGCGGATTAAGTAGTATTAAGTAACCAAAGTC